CTTTATTGGGATCAGAAAATGTTTATTTTAAGTCTAATTTCTTTAATTATGAGTCAGAACCCTTCTGGGTATTGTATCTGATGCCCCATGATTAATGAGGTTTTCCATTCTGGCTGTTGGGACCGTAGCGATTCCCAGCATTGTGTGTGGTCCCAGTATTGTCCCCTCTAATCTGCTTGGGAGTTATCACTCTAGCCTTGAGTAGTTTTCTGACATTCTTACACTGATTGGTACTCAGCTGAAAATGGGGGGCAGGCTCTTGGTAGATCTCCAAGCTCCCTCTCTCTTCATGCAGCTCTAACCACTTGAGCACTCTGCCCTCAAAACTCTTGGTCTGTCCAAATTCCCAGCTCCAGCTCCTCAACTCAAGGAGATCATGGGGCTTTGCCTATGTTTTTCTCTCTGCAGTGTTATAGCCTAGCAGTAGTTTGGACAATAATTTCCATAACTGTAGGGCTCCTCTCCTTTGTTTTTCATCTTCTGGGATTTCTGTATTTTGTTCCCTGATGTTCAGTGTCTTGAACGGTGTTGTTTCATATACTTTGCCCAATTGTTAGTTGTTCAGGGTGGTGGTGGTGGGGTGCTAAATCCAGTCCCTGTTACTCCATGTACTGAAGTGGATGTCTTTCTGTACATTATCTCCACTTTTTAGATTGAGTAAAGAGGAGGTGAGAAAGTTTAAATAACTTGCCCAAGGGCACAGCATGCAATAAGTGACAAAACTGGACTTGGATATAAATTTTTTGGACTTCCAAGATAATGCTCTTAATCACAAAGCTATAAAGTTTTTATATATAATATGAATTAATATATTTAATAATTGATTTTTTATGTATATTCAGGACATTAGGAAACACTGGCAGATGTTTTATGGAAATTTCTTCCCATTTCTCCCTTTTAAAGATAAATGTGAGGAACGTGAAGAACACATAATTTCAGTTTCATCTGCAAAGGAAATTGATGTTCGTTCCTGTCCTCTTAACCCAAACGAAAAGAGTGGCACTATAATTTGGTATAAAAATGACAGCAAGACACCTATATCTGCCAAACAAGATACCAGGATTCATCAGCATGAGGATAAACTTTGGTTTGTTCCTGCTGAGGCAGAGGATTCAGGACATTACTACTGTGCTGTAAGGTAAGACAGGAATTAATATATTACACACATGTTCTGGGTACCTGCAGTAGTTAAGGACGGAAAAGTATTTTCATAATGCTTAATTTACCTATTTTACTTTGTTTCAGAAATTCATCTTACTGCCTCAAAATTAAAATAACTGCAAAATTTGTGGAGAATGAGCCTAACTTGTGTTACAATACACAAGCTATATTTACACAGAAACTACCCATTGCAGGCGATGGAAGACTTGTATGCCCTTATTTGTATTTTTTTAAAGATGAAAATAATGAGTTACCCAAAATACAGTGGTATAAGGTAATTTTATTTTAAATATGGTATTTTGCTTTTCCAGAAATTAAAATGGTTTTTTGTCATGAACAGTAAAGTGAGTCTGCAAAGTGCTTTTTAAATTTTGAATATTGTTTTCTCTTTAGTGGTGAAACTTAATAAGGAATCTAATAAGCATTGTAAGACTGCGTTCATTTAATGTGAAGCTTAACTGAAATCTTACTTTTTGTTGTTGTTGTTTAACTTAATAAAGTACAGTTGAGAAAAGTAATAGTAGAAATAAAAAATGCTTAAAGAGAAGGCTGATGATACATTTAAGGTATTGAAGAGATAACTATTGTAAAATCTATTATTTTGTGTTTTATTAAAGATTAAGTGGTCCTCAAATAACCTGGTAGTTTCTGTAAATGTCTGAAAAGCGGGTTGACTAGGAACACATCATGTTTGGTACTTTTGATCTACCTAGTCCGGTGAGACTTGAATGGGCAGTCATCTTGTAGAGGTCAATAAATATAAAATAAATAATATCAGTGAAGAAAGGAATTACAGTCCTGATAAGAAACTATAGTATTAACATTCTTTCCTCAAACATGTTTTCCTTGCAAAATAAATGTCTTCACTTGCTTCATACTGCGAGGCTCATAGGCATGAAAATTTAACAACATAGGAATATAATTAACTTTTGCCAAAAAATGCAATATTAAAATGCACTGTATTCAAGGAACCTTTCTCGTAACTTTTTAAAAATATAACATTTGCTAATGTGAAAACATGGAGTTCTTTTTGTAGATTAGGAAAGTTATTAATGGATTTGCAATGCTTCTTTTCTCTCCTTTTATCTAGGATTGCAAACCTCTATTNATCTGACAATATTTTCCTTATTTCTGAAGGTCTTCCTTACATATTTCTTGTAGTGCAGGTCTACCGGTGATGACTTCTTACAACTTTATAAATGTGAAAAAATTCTTTTTTTTTTCATTTTGAAAGATATTTCCACTGGATGTAGAATTTTAGGTTGACAATTTTTTTCTTTCAGTTCTTTAAGGGTATTGTACCACTGTCTCCTGGCTGGTATTGTTTCTGGAAAGAAGTCTGCATCATTTTTGTCTTTGTTCCCCTGTAATAATTGTGTCATTTTTCTCTGGCTACTTATAAGATTTTCTCTTTGTCACTGGTTTTAAACAATTTGTTATTTGTTTGGTGTAGTTTTCTTCATGTTTCTTTTGCTTGGGGTTTATTGTGATTTGGGAGCCTGTGTGTACATCATTTTAATGTCATTTTGAAAATTTTCACCCTGTATTTCTTCGAATATTTTCTGCTTCCCTTACTTCTTTTTTTCAGTTATTCATATTACATGTGTAAAAGTTGTTCACAGCTAACCAACGCCCCATATTTTGTTCTGCTGTTTTTCTCTCTGTGCTTTATTTTGGATAGTTTCTAATGCTGTGTCTTCATGTGTGTTAATCTTTTTTATTTCTGCAGTGTCAAATCTACCATTAATCCCATCTAGTGCATTTTTAACCTCAACATTGTAGTTTTCATCTCATTTAATTTTTTAAAATCTCTTTTATGTCTCTACTCAACATGTTTGATCTTTTCTATAGCATCTTGAACAAATGGAATGCACTAATAATAACTATTTTAATTCTCTTGTCCAGTGAACCTATCTTCTATGCCATTTCTGGGTCAGTTTCAGTTGACTGATTTTGTCCTCCTCACTACTGGTTATATATTACTGTTTCTTTGCATGCCTAATGATTTTTTCTTAGATGCTAGACATTGTCGATTTTACCATGTTGTTGGGTGCTGGATGTTTTTATATTGTTAAAAATGTTCTTGAGCTTTGTTCTGCCATACAGCTGTTACTTGGAAATGGTGTGACCCTTTCAGGTCTTGCTTTTAAGCTTTATTGGGATCAGAAAATGTTTATTTTAAGTCTAATTTCTTTAATTATGAGTCAGAACCNGGTGAACACGAATGGGCTTTGGAATAAGTTACACTCACAGAATCTACCTCCTGTTCATCCCAAGTTAGCTCAGTTACTTAACCTGTCTAAGCCGTTTCCTCCTCTGTAAGATGATGCTGTGATCTCTCAAGATTGCTGGGAAGATTAGAGATGGGGTATGCTAAGCTTTGGTCATGTGCCTGTGCGAAGCAGCACTTGGTGCAAAACAGGTGTGCAGTTAATAGGTGTATGATGATTGTTCCTGTTAATGTTCCTGGGGCTTTCAATTCTGTATTAACCATGTTTTGTATTAAAAACTATTTTGTGACAAAATGAAACAAAATATACTCCTAAAAATTACCTGGGGATCGGCAGAATGCTCAACTTTTCTGTCAACATCAGGATTTTGTAAGCTTTAAGTAATATGAGAATTATTCTAACCAGAACTTTTTTGTAAGTAATTATGCTGAGACAATAGGTATAAATTGGGACTATTTTTGGCAAACCTAGAATATGGTCACCCTATATATAGCTACATTTTCCCAATTCTATAATAATTTACTTTTTCAAAGATTCATTTTTTTGAATAAAAATTAATTCCTTGCCGTGGTCGCACAAGCATCAGTGAATCCTTATTTTCAATGGTCTTTGTATCACAACCACGTTCTTGAGTTTTAGCAGCCTGTTTCTGGTCCTTATGTAGCTCTGGTATGTCTTTCTTGCGACACAGCAACCAAACCAGCAAGAAGAACTCTAGGGAGAACTGGGCACTGGGGAATTTAAAAAATGGTCAAATAAGTTTTAAATATTCTTTTTCTGATCCCATTTGTAGGGACAATATACTCTCTCCAAGGGTAAGATAATATTTTGTTTTCTTCCCAAGGCACACCCCAATGATGCTTAGTGTTTTTTGTTCATTTCTGGATTCAAAACTATGTATTGAGCATCCACTATACACATTAAGGAACAAAAGAGATAATATTCTGTCCTCATGGTGGTTACTGGTTTTTTTTGTTTGTTTGTTCTGACTGGTGGAATTCTGGGCATTCAAGTTCTTAGTTTCTCATAGTTTCTTCTTGGCCACAGGTCAACCCTTGAAGCCAATTTTCTTATAAATAAGAGTCAGGTTAATTTCTAGGGATCCTTGATACTTTTTGCCTATTTTAATAAATTATGCCAAATTGCTTGGCATTCTTCCTTAACTCTACAGGTATCGCTACTGAGCCATCACCAAAGTTACAACATACAAGCAGGTCTAGCACTGACTAGTCTTTCTGGTTGTTAATGCCCAGTTCAGGGAAGCGCCTTTCCCCTACCCCTTGCTTTTCCTGACTTCCTTTGAGAGAGGTGTTTGTGTAGAGACCCAGGGTCCTGGTGATGTGTGTGTGTGTTTCTGCAGCACCAAGCTCTGTGGGTTCAGGAGGGTCCAGCTTTGCAGCGGTGCTCACGGTTTGCTGCAGTGTCTGTGTCTGCTTCCCCCCTTCTCACCTCCTGTTTCCTGCCTCTTGTGAGCACTCAGGGGAATATCTGGCCAGATGCCACTTAGTATATTTGCTAAGTGTTGTTATCACTTGGGATTCTGATTATAACAGACTGAGAAACCCTGTGGTTATTTTTCTTCCAGAGGAAAATAGACCCACGAGGCCTGTGATTGTGAGTCCAGCTAATGAGACGATGGAAGTGGTCTTGGGTAAGTGAAGAGTTCAGATCTCTGCACCAGCTAGCTGTACCCCCCCCACCCCCCCCAAAAAAAGAGAGTTCCAATAAGAATATGCTGAAATCATTATTTTGCACTCAAGATTAAGAAATATTGTACCTTTACTTAACCTAAGCCATTTATTGAATATATCTATAATTAGAGGGAAAGTGACACAAATTATACCTTAATTTTTTGTTTTTATTTCTTGCCTCTATGGTAAAAATCTAGCCACATCAGATTTTGCCATTCTTATTTTCCTATGGACACGTAGTATCCATGAAAACACCAGCCAAAGGCCAAGTTCAAAAGGCCTAGGAATGGGAAATGTAATTTATTTCACTGATACGGAATGGATTTCTTAAAATCATAACTAAGGGGCCGGCCCCGTGGTGCACTCGGGAGAGTGCGGCGCTTGGGAGCGCAGCGGCGGTCCCGCTGCAGGTTCGGATCCTATATAAGGATGGCCGGTGCGCTCACTGGCTGAGCGTGGTGCGGGCGACACCGAGCCCAAGGGTTGCAATCCCCTTACCGGTCACAAAGAAAAAAAAAATCATAACTAAGTTTTTAGTCAGAAGAATATGACTAGAGTCTAAAAAAGGATGGTAGTTATTCTAGAAAAAAACTTTTCCAAGTTAGCAAAAATGTTTAATTTCAAGAATAAGGAACCCAAAAGTGTCTAGACCCGCACTGTCCAATACAGTAGCTACTAGCCACATGTAGCTGTGTACACCATAAAAGTAAATTAAGCCAATTAATTAACTTAGTTAAATTAAAAGTTTGTTCCTCAGTCACATTAGTCATATTTCAAGGGCTTAATAGCCACGTGGGACCAGTGAGTACCATATTAAAAGGTACAAATATGAACATTTCTATCACTGCTGAAAGTTTTATTGGAA